CATCGATTTTATGTCATCATTGGATACAAACATAACAAAGTCATTCTTTGGCAGTACTGACGAGAGAGAGAGAGAGAGAGAGAGAGAGAGAGAGAGAGAGATTTGTTAAATATATTCTAACAGTTATCGATAGTATACATACAATTAATATCGATGTAAAATGAGCTGCGAATCGGTTGACTATAGTTTAAAAAATTGTTTGCCTGACAACTGAACACCACTTGAATGTCTTGCGGTGACAATCGATATATAGTTAGGTCGTTGTGAGCCATTCCCCGATCGTCTATATTATAGGAGCCGTCAATCATCGACTGCGACCGATACCAGTGCAGCGCCGGCGGTGGACTACCTGTTAGTGTAAATTGTAGTATTATAATCATGGTTATTTTTATCATGCAGATTAGATTACTGGTGTTGAATAGTTTTCTGCACATGTTCAGTTAAATAGTTTTTAATTTAGTATACACTTGTTATGTACAGAATATTCTCGTAGTATTAGTTCACTGTATGTACTGATAATTAATTGTTAATCAATAAAGGATAAGGGTGTGTATACTATAAAGGATCTCGATAACTATCAACGATGTATATAACAGATGTTGTGTATGTGTTTGTGTGAGTGTGTGATGAGATGTTTGGCGTAAAAAATATATGAAAACACATTAAATAAAAACACTCTTATATAACACAAACACTATAGATATGGTGTAAATCCAGGAGTGCTTTAAGAAAATAATTTTTTTTATTTTGGTGTTTACGGGAAACACAAGTTTTGGCAAACAATGCAATACTAAATGTATGGTTACTATAGTCTGCGAGAATTGCCATAACTTGTGTGTAAAACTGTGTGTTATTATAGCGTTAAGTGAGATATAGTGTACGATATAAAACAAATCTCAGTAGTATTTGATTTATAAAAATGGGATACAAAAAACATATAAAACATCAGCAGCACAGGGATGTGCACAGACTGGAGGGCTCAGTCTATTGCTTTTTCCTTGGTTACAATAGTTTAAATTTTGCTAAAAATACTGTTTTTAATTTCATTAAATTTGTATTATTAAGCAATAAGTACTAAAAATAGTTATTTCAGCATAATTTATTATATTTAATCAGTCAATATATTATTAGTAAGCTAGTAGGCTTAATGATGGTTAGCTATGGCACAAATATAGACCCTGGTAATCTACAAGACTATAAATGACAATATATGACAATATTCTATTGTATCGATTAAATGGTTCAGAACTAATCTAACATAAAAATAGCCATTTCTTTACTGTATATATTTTTGAAGACTTTTATCACACATTAGTCTCTCTCTCTCTCTCTCTCTCTCTCTCTCTCTCGAGTTTGTTATATATTAATGTCGTGTTTGACACGTATTTATTGTTTATCAACGATAACACACCGTTTGGAGAGAGAGTGAGTGAGAGAGAGAGAGAGAGAGAGAGAGAGAGAGAGAAGAAGAAGTAGCTAACAATACAAGTATAATGTGTTTGTAAGTTATCTCGATATACTGTGTATAAACACACACTCGGTATAAGACTTTATACAAACAAAACAAACAATATTTACCGCCTTCTGCCACACATGTGAGCATCACATCCATGTCCTGATCGTACGGTCCGATCACCGTCTCGTCGGCAATCACTGTGCCGTTCATATCCCTGATTACGACTGAACGCGGGGGCACTGGTGGGAGGGAGAGAGAGAGAGAGAGAGAGAGAGAGGGAGAAAGAAAAATAATATGACAATTACATTGTATAATGGATTAACGTTTAAATATAATTCTGTAATAAAACAATATGTGAATATTTGATGAAAATATTTCGCAATTTTTTTGCATATAGAACCAGAATTATATTATAGATTGCAACAGCAAACATATATTTTACTACTTATGTCTTCAGAATATACATTATACACATCTATTAGATATAAATTGCATTCTTCTGGTAATTCTGTTATATTTATCTGTTATTCTTGTAATCAATGACAAAGAATATATACACAGATATTGTTTATAGCTGTTTATATACATATAAAGAATAATAAGATTCTTAGAGAAATTCTTGGAATTTATTTCCTATTCTGGATCCAAATGTCTATATATTTATATATATTCTGTATTTGTATATATATTGTGCGACAAAAGGAAATCACATTTTCTCAATTCCCTTCCCTTATATTTATGTAATATTGACATCAAAAATATTTGTCTCATTTAATATTATAGCATATTCTCTATTATACAATACAAGTACTATTATGTTTGCCTACAATACCACTCAATGTGTTAGTAATTGTGCTAAAAATAATGTCTCCATTAGTTTACATAACAAATAACTAATGCATTGAATATAAATGTTAAAAGCAATCAATTGTTATGTATATAGAGATGTAAGAAATCAATTTTTTGTCACTTAACTATAACTAAAAATAAAACAAATAACAGATTGATATCATACCCCATACTGTACAAACTAAATATTGATAGTATATTAATGTAACACGAGCATATTTATTTGTTAACTGGTATAATGTTAGATGCAATTTAAAATCAAATATAAATAAAAATTCTCTCTCTCTCTCTCTCTCTCTCTCTCTCTCTCTCTCTCTAATATAAGGTCCAGAAAACTTTCTGTCCATTAGTTCCGCAAACTTACATCTCTTATACACTCGCTCTCCGTCTACAACATCATCACTGATAACAACGATTATTGCGGACAACAATACATGAAAAATGT